AGGATTCACTCTTCATGTTGTACATTCTATGGGTTTTGACAAATGCATAATGACCTGTAGCCACCTCTATAGTATCATACAGAATAATTTCATTGCCCTAAAAATCTCTTGTGCTCCATCTATTCATTCCTCTCTCCCTCCCTCTCCCTAAACCCCTGGAAACCACTCTCTTTTTATTGCTTCTGTAGCTTTGCATTTGGCAATACTTTTGAACTGCTAAAATATTACCTGGTCAAATCTAAGAAGTCACAACACAGAAGCAGCTTTCGAATCTTTTATAATTTAATTTGCATTGCTTTTTAACATTTATAAACATTTTCATGGATTATACTGAGTGAAGTAAGTCAGACAGAAAGACAAATATCATATGATGTCACTTAAATGTGGAATCTAAAAAACAGTACAAATGAACTTATTTACAAAACAGAAACAGACTAACAGACATAGAATACAAACTTATGGTTACCAAAGGGGAAGGTGGGGGAGGGATAAATTAGGAATATGGGATTAACAGATACACACTACCATATATAAAATAAACAACAAGGATTTACTGTATAGCATAGGGAACTATATTCAGTATCTGGTAATAATCTACAAAGGCAAATAATTTTTAAAAGCAATATATATATCCAAATCACTTTACTGTACACCTGAAACTAACACAATATTTTAAATCAACTATACTTCAATAAAAAATTTTAAAAATGGGTTTATATTTATATATTATTTAATTTTGGAGTGACTCCTTAATTTATTACCATCCTTAATTTACAGATGGGGAAACTGACGCTTAGAGGAGTGAAAGCCAGAAAGGGATCAGGGATTACAATTAGTTTCAGTCAATTTAACATCTACTGAGCTTTGAGTACTGAGTTTCAGGTTGTATTAGATAATTGGGGATGCAAAAGTGAATACAATACGCACCCAATCCTCAACCCCTAAACCAGTCCTATTTTGCTCTCCAATTCTCTTTTAGAGGTTTGATCTTGCCTCTTATCTTGGACTGGGCTGGCTCGTGGTGAGACCCAAAGCTGAGCATCACCTACACAGAGAGCTAGTTTACAAGAAGAATTGACTCCAGGGTACTCTGGCAATTCCATGTCTATGATGTAGTCATCAGAGTTGCAAAGGTAGGTAAGAAATGGAAAATCTCATACACTATGGGGAGGAGAATAAATTGGTACAACCATGTTGGAAGGCAATTTTTCATTATCTATTAAAGCTAAAAGTGTCCTTAAAATCTTACAATCTAACAATTCCACTTCTCCATTTGTACAAGAAACTCTGTCATATGCATAAGGAGACATGTAAATGAATGTTCATTGAAGCATTGTCTATTACAGGAAAATAATTGGAAACAACCTAAATGTTCATCAGTCTGAAAATGGATAAGTAAATTGTATGAACAGTGGAATATAATATTACACTTAAAAGAAATGAACTAGAACTAGAATATGCATAAATCTCCAATAATAGAATATTGAGTGAAAAAAGGTAGCAGAATGTACATAAAGTATGCTATCATTTTCATTAACTTTAAGCACATTACACAATACTACATATTTCCATTTGTCATAAACATTTAAAACCATTCATGATAATGATAAACTCCAAATTCAGGATAGTTGTACCTCTGCTGAGAAAGCAGGACAATGATAGAATACATAGAAGCCTTTAGCCAAATCTGTATTTTAAAAAATGTGGATCTGAAGCAAATACATGACAAAGCTGGGTGGGAAAGAAAAAAGAATTTGTTATATTATTTTTTATACTCTGTATGCTTGGAATAGTCCACTTAAAAGTATCTGTGGGTCTTTGACCCTGGAATTCTGGGATTTTTCTTGTGTTTTTCACTTGGCGCAGAATTTTCTTGTTTTCGCTTTTCCCATGCTAAAATTCCATCCATTCTTTGCTAGTCTAGCTCTCCTAGCTCAAGTCTCACTACCTTATTGAGAGTTTCTGTGACAATCTTGTCAGTTCACACTGTGCTCTCCCTTTTCTAAACCATGATAGGTCTATAAAATTCTTTTGTACACTATGTATGTATGACCATATTCCTTCATATTGTTGGTTAATAATATATTGTCTTGCATTAATATTTGACTTTACTATACACAAACCTTTTTTCTCCAATTATATTGTAATAGCTCTAAGGATAGGAACAATATCTTGTATATCTTTAATTCTTCCCCGGTGCCCAATGGAGCCTAACCAGATACTTATTAAAGAAAAGCGATATATAAACCAGTAATTGTAACCCTTCCTACAAAACCTTTACATAGAAAGTTGCAAATACTAGTTTGAGCTACATTTGCTTTTATTTTCCAAGAGCGAGAATACTAATGAGCTGTGAAATGACCAAAAATCAGGCAGCAGAAGGGAAAAGAAGAAATAACGGGTTTGTATATTACACATTCTGGATAATCAGCTCTTGAATGATTAAGTGTGGATGAGCTCTTATGGGGAAAAGCAGATTTTAAAAATTCATTTTATGACTATTGAATTGTTTTATAGATCATTTCCAGTTTTTGGACAACCCTAGGCCAAATTTATAACTTATTTTGGAAAAACGTTTCCTCTTACAATATGCTGCATAATCCCATAGAAATACACCTTGTTATTGGACTAGACATGGGAATGGTGGTCCAGTGAAACTGAAAAACGAAAGTGTTCCGCCTGTGGAATTAGGAAGGGATTTTAGAGAAAAAAAAATTTGAGTTCAATTTACCCTTAGTCCATCTTGTAAGAAGTGCTTGGTACTTGAGGCAGCCACCTTATCAGACACCTCAAAGAAAGACTAGTATTAAGTCCAGGATGAAAGCTAACGAGCACAGGAAATGGTTTAGCACGTTGTCTCTCCCCAAAATGAAAAGTCGGTTATCACAGAATGAGATAAATTTAGGAATCAGGATGGTTACTTTTAGCAAAAGCAGCAGCTGTTATGGTCTATTTCAAAACTACCACCATTTTGTCCCTGGAGAGTTTTCCTAATGGACCTTTGTAATGTTTTATTAAACCAGGCCACTGTCTCATGGTTCTTAGGCCTAAGTGCTGCAATACTCAAAATTCAGTTCCTTAAATTAAGCCTTACCTACATCTGTATTTATGACTGCATTCTTAACTCTATAGTGTACCTTAGGGAGGTTATATCTTTGAAATGATTATCCCTCTCTATCTCTATGTCATTTATGTCCCCAGTGAAGAAAAACTAAAGACACAAAAATATCTTGCAATTTGGTGAGAAAGAGTATATTCCCTCATGTTCTCATCATTTGTAGGCATTAATGTTGAAGCAAAGCCTTAAAGCAGTGACCAGAGTATTTTTATAGTAATAATGAAACTTATCATTGGTCTCTGCAATTTTTCCTTCCCTTAAATAAAGAGAAGCAAGAAAAATGCTGTTATACAGAGAGTATATCCAGTGGATAGATTGGGTTCTCAAAGTTCCCTAAAGGATAAATGTCTATAACTTTGAATTAATTTCCCATGGAAACAGTGTGATTAATTATGATTACACTCTAAGTCAAGGCCATAAAACCCAAATATTAGTAGGTGTGGCAGTTGATTAAGAAATCTATCTTGTTTTCTTGACTATGGGCTTGTCATAGAAAAATAAGAAGTATTTTCCCCTTCGCTTCTCTAGAGGGAAGGTTAAAATGTGATTTTCTAGAGCCTTTAGGGAGGCAGAAGACTCAGTTATCTGGAAGGGGTTCTAAGAAAATGGGAATGACGTGACTTCGGGAGAATCTGGATCTCTTGAGCCCAGAAGGAGAAGAGAACCAGATAAGAGTCAGTTTTCATAAAAGGTGAAGACCCATGTCCACCGACAAAGAACGGATCAGAATGATATAGCCCTCTCATGGGGATGCCGGCAAGGATATATTGTCTCAGAAGTAGTGAAAGTATTTATCCTTAGCTGAAACAAGTCAAGTGTATATATTGTAAACTTTAGGGTTACTATTAAGAGGATAGTGAAAGTATATATAAATAATATAATGTAGAAATAGTAAAAGAAAACATAATAATAAAACACTCAGTTAAGCCCAAGGAAGGCAAGAAAGATGATAAGAAGGATTAAGTAACAAGTAGAATAAATAGAAACTAAAATAGTAAGATGTTAGCTGTCAACTCCAATATATTACTCCTCCAGTTAATCACCATGAATATAAATGGCACAATATTCCAGTAAAGAACAAAGATTGTCATACTGGTCTTAAAAATATATGTGCTTTTTATGAAAGATACAAGAGTAATAATCTAAAATTATAACACAGAATAGTTAAAAGAATAGAAAGACATTTTATATAAACACTAACCCAAAGAAAGCTTGTATAGCTATAAATAACATATAAAGTAGACTTTAAGGAAAGATACATTATTAGAAATAAAGTGTGATATTTCACAATAATAAAAATATTAACCCATCAGGAAGATTTAGCAATTCTAATCTTGCATACAACCAGCAACATAGTACAAAATACATAAAGTGAAAAAAATTGCCACAACTTCAAGGAGAAATAGACAAATCTACAGTCACATTAGAAGCTTTTAACACATCTCTTAGAAATTGATAGAACAGGAGACAAAAATTAGTAAGGATGCATAACATTTGAACAATGTGACTAACAAAATTGACACAATTGATATATATGAAATATTTCACCCAACATTTACAGAATTCCCCATAACACAGAAATTAAACAATATATTTCTAAGTAATTCATCAAAGAAAAAAATCACAGTAGAAATTAGAAAATATTTTGAACTAAATCATAATGAAAATATGACATCAAAAATTTTAATACGCAGTTACATCTGTGTTTAGTGGTAAATGTATAACTTTAAAGGCTGAAATGTATAGCCTTGCACAAGAATTACATAAGAATCCATCTCATTCATGATTTAAAACTCATAGCAAACTAGTAATTTTTTTTTCTCTTTTCAGTAGTCTTTTATTTTGCGATAATTGTAGACTTACAAAAAGGTTGCAGAAAAGGAAAGGACTCCTGTATATCCTTCACCAAGATTTTAAAGTTGTATCATTTGTTTTATCTATTTCACTTTATCTATATTATTTATGAGCCATTTAAGAGTTAAGTTATAGATATATCTTTATCCCCCAAATACTTCAGTATGTATTGTTTAAAAACAAGGAAACTTACTTGCATAACCACAGTAAAACTACCAAAATGAGGATACATTGATATAACATTATCGTATAATCTACAGACCTTACTAAACCTTAACAATTTTCCTAATATTATCTTTTATAATTTAAAAAATGTATCTTTTCTGGTCCAGGATCCAATCCAGGACCACACATTGCATTAGTTGCCATGTCACTTTAGTCTTTTAAAATCCAAAATACTTCTTTATCTTTACTGTTTAGTTTCTGACTATAAAATTTTTGAATAATACAGGCTTGTTGTTTTGAAGAATATACTTCTATTGAGTTCAGTTAATGATTCCTCAAGAATAGATTCAGATAATGCATTTTTGGTGGGAATACCACAGAAGTGATATTGTATCTGTGTCAGTATATTATATCAGGATGCCCATGGTGTTGGTTTGTCTTATTACTGGTAATGTTGACTTTAATCATGTAGTTAAGGTGTATCTATCAGTTCCTCTATTGTAAAATTACTATTTTTCCCAATGCAATTCGAAGTATTTTATGTGGAGATATTTTAAGACTCATTTTTAACATCTTTCGATGATTCCAGAATTAATAATCACTATGATGATTGCAAAATGATGATTTTCTAACCCAATCATTCCTTATATATTTATTAGTTAGAATTCTAGTATAAAAGAGACTCTCCCCAGCTATCCACCCACCAGCCTATCTTGTAGTTAATTTTATCTTTTAAAATGTATTAATATTAATTCATGGGTTTTTACTTTATTCAATATAGTTGTAGTTTTTTACTGCTGGTACTTGTTTTGATGTTCAAATTGTCCAAGATTTATTGAATTAAAATTCCTTCAGGCTGGTTCCTGTGTACTTTTGACATGTCCTTATCATTTTTCGGAGCACGTACTCACTCTCTGGAAGCTATTCCAGGCTTATCTCATGTTTTTCCTGCCCCAAGTCTGGAATCAGCCATTTTCCCAACGAGCTCTAGTTCCT